TCCAGGCCAATGGGGGGGGCGGGAAGTGGCGGCCAGCACATCCCTCGGCCCGCACAGCTTCCCGCCGCCCCCATTGGCCTGGAGCGGCAAACCGCGGCCAGTGGGAGCCGCGATCGGCTGAACCTGCGGACGCGGCAGGTAAACAAACTGGCCCGGCCAGCCAGGGTGCTTACCCTGGCTGGCCATGTGCCAAAGGTTGCCGACCCCTGAACTAGACCGTCTTAAAATGTGACCATTATTTTCAAACTTGGGTAGTTAGTGTTATGCATCAAAACCTGTATTTAGTCATCTAAATCAGTGCCTGTAAAAAGTCAGGACATTTAACACACTCAATTCCTATTGACTAGATAAGTTCATGGAGGACAGGTCCATCAATAGATATTAGCCAGGATGGGCAGGGATGGTGTCCCTACCCTCTATTTACCAGACGCTGGGAATGGGCAACAGGGGATGGATCACTTGATGATTCCCTGTTCTGTTCATTCCCTGTGGGGCACCTGGCATTGGCCCCACTGTTGGAAGACAGGATACTGGGCTAGATGGACCTTTGGTCTGACCCAGTATGGCCGTTCTTATTACTCTAATTGTTCCACTCTATCTGAAACCGTGCCCAGCACTCTGAACTGTTAATGGTACCAGTGCCACTGCAGAAGGATAAACTGCGGGAGTTGTTCTTGGGTCATGTCATCCTCTCTGACTATTTGAAAAGGCTGGCAAAATCTTCCAGGGATCAGTGGAGTTACCCGAGCACTGCCTTTTGTGTCTCTAGGGAGAGATGCTACCTGAGGAAGAATCCCTGAACTAATAGAAAAATATCTGTTTGTAACTGTCAGTGGTGCTCACCTCTCCCAATTGTTGCTGGACAGCCTTGATGTCAGAAGGGACTAAAAAAATGGGAGAGGCAGCCCTTCCCCTTTGGTTCAGCATCTCATAGCCAGTCACTACAGGTCTGTAATGACTGGAAGTTACCACCATCTCTTAGCTGTTTGGTAGCCTAGGTGTAGCAGGTCTCCTAGCAGGCAGATATCCATCATAGTCTGGATACCATGGAGTGTGTGGTATATCCGTACTCCGCCAACTCCCATATTGGACGTCTTAGCCCTGAGGCTAAGGACTGAAGGGGCCTTTGATTCACATCCTCGTGGTTGGGATAGTCACATTGGGTCGGAGTGCGGGAGGCTGGTGCTACTTTGGTCTTCGTTGCACGTGCGGGTTGCACAGGGGACTCTGTCCAACGAAGCCTTTCACCAACACATGAAAAAGAAGGGCCCTAGTCAGGGAGGGGTACAATGGAGTTTTCCCTTTAGCAAAGACAAGAGAGAGACGTTCACGTTCACACTGAGAGACTACAGCCTGGCTTCACTTCTGGTGGCCTGGAGAACAGGGCGGGAAACCAGTAGTAACTCACTCTGAACAGCCTGGTTAAACACAACCCTTGCAAACAGGCTGGCTGTGGAGGATTGGAGAGGGAGAAGGATACTAATTAATATCATCAGAGGATCTTGCAGCCCTTTACAAGCATGAATTAACCCTCAGTGCCCCAGGGTGAGACAGAGAAATTCTATTCTTGTTGTGGTTATCCCCACAAGTTCCAAGTTCCTAACTGTCAGGGTGGTTAAACACTGGAACAAATTGCCTAGGGAGGTTGTGGAATCTCCGTCTCTGGAGATATTTAAGAGTAGGTTAGATAAATGTCTATCAGGGACGGTCTAGACAGTATTTGGTCCTGCCATGCGGGCAGGGGACTGGACTCGATGACCTCTCGAGGTCCCTTCCAGTCCTATAATCTATGATTCTATGATTTGTAAAATGAGGCCCAGAGTTTAAGTGACTTGCCCCTCATCACCCAGCAAATCTGTGGCTGAACTGAGAACTGAATCCTTCCCCTCCGAATTCCCAGTCCCGTGCCTTGGCCAAAACTACCAAGTCTCTGGGAGCTGCAGGTGCTTAGCACCTCTGCAAGTCAGGCCACTTTTATTTAGGGGCCTATGTGTAGATTTGGAAGCCCAGTGTTAAGCAGCGAGTTAGAAAATGGCAGCCTGTTTTACATCTTCAGAGTGCTGTACAAGCAGTGTCTATGTGCTCTGAGTATTACTAACAAACCATCGCATAGGTGCATATTGCAAAAGCCCATTCTACACATCGATTGGAGATTGGACCTAGTCAAGACCCCCACCTAATAAACATCCCATGGGCCTAATTTATCATTTTCCCACAAGCAGTACCTTTCCACCTATCATCTGATGGGGAATTGATTAGTGATGCTAACGATCACCTGGCAATACTGGGTGGAATGTGTAAGCCCATGTGGCGGGAATCTGTAATGCCACTTCTGGACTAGTTGTTTTCTGCACAAAATATCAAGACTCTGGTGTCTCGTGCTATGACAGCCCTCTAGTGTCGGAAAATGGAAGGTTCTCTGCCTTTTACAGTAGAATCTCAGAGTTACAAACTGACCAGTCAACCACACACCTCATTTGGAATTGTAAGTACGCAATGAGGCAGCAACAGAGACAAACAAACAAAAAAAAGCAGATACAGGACAGTACCGTGTTAAACCTAAACTACTAACAAAATAAAGGGAAAGCAGCATTTTTCTTCTGCATAGTGAAGTTTCAAAGCTGTATTAAGGCAATGTTCATTGTAAACTTTTGAAAGAACAACCATAACGGTCTTGTTTCAGAGTTACGAACAGCCTCCCTTCCCGAGGTGTTCGGAACT